ATTCACATCTACATCAACAACTACAGCCACAGATGAGCACAGGCTCAGCTCTGTGGGTGGGTTGGGGTTGGATTGTGTTGGGTTAGGTTGGTTAGGAGACAGAGGCAGTGACAGTGGCATTTCTCAGATATTTTGTCACGTTCCGAAAATGTATATCGAAATTGGCAAAAAAATATCTTGAAATATCTGAAATGTCTGCTTAAAAGAGGTGTGTGTTTGTGTGTGCGTGTGCGTGTGTGTGTGTGTGAAAGATCCCTCTCTCCAGAGTGTGAAATATTTAGAATGTGTACATACTTATCATGTTATGTGTGTTTCGCAGCTTTGTTTTATGTGTCAACTTACCTGCAAAGAAATGTGAAGGCAGAAGGAGAAAATTGTGTATTAGATATGTATGTATTTAAGAGGCAATTGTCGAAATGGCAATTGGCATAAATGAATGTAACAAATGTGTGCACAAATTTTGTAAATGCTCAAAAGCTCAACAATCGATATTCATTAAAAAAAAAGTTTGCAATGGACCAGAATTAATTTTGAAATATCAATAATGCAACAGCCGGCTCCGAAACTTTGTGAATCTGGTAATAAGGCTTAGAAATAATAAATGTTGACAAACGGAATACTAGCACGAATGAGCACAAAGTGTATTCAAAGGAGTAAAAAGGGGCCAACGGAAACTTTCCCAATTAGTTGCGGATAGAAAACTTTTACGAGCACACATAAACAAAATGTTATGCAAATTGCCGCAAAAACAGAAAATAATTGCATTTGCCAGTCGTTTATGGTGAGAAGCAGACCGAGAGAGACAGAAACAGAGGGAGAAATGAACCAAGCCAAGAGAGACAAGCTCAAATGAAGCAGCGTAGGACGGTTGGACAAGTTGTTCCTACAAATTGCCTGCCAGGCAGCGATAAAAAGCGAAAGAAAAACACACTCCGTAAAAGAACATCTCTTGCAACAATTTCCGTTTAGTGACGAAATGCCTGAAAGCATGCTTCACAAATTGTCTACAACAGACAAAAGGCGTAACTAGTTATCGTCACCCCACAAAATATATTCACACCCCCCTCCCCATCCACAATGTCAATGCCAACGAAGCGCATTACATTGCTCGAGTCTCCTTGTCAACACTTGTTTCCTTTCGGTTGACAGTTTCCCTTGTCTCAATTTCGCTGTCTGCCATTTCCTTTCAATGCTTGATTATCGTTGCGACTTTCAAATTGAAAATCAATTTCGTTCATTCATAATTTAATGTGAGTCAGCACGATGGTAACACACACACACACACACACACACACACACACACACACTCACACAGATACGTGCACAGTTTTTCATACGTAAATATTTTACTTTTTTCGTGTCTGTCTTTCTCCACTTGCATTCACATCCTTCATTGGGTTGTCTGCCTTATTTATATTCATAAGTTGCCGGCGGGCCAACAGATACAGAGACAGAGACTGCATTTATATGAAAAATAAAAAAAACATAAGTAAATACTCAACCATATTTGCCAGTAGCGAAACTTGGCCGACATATGTTGCAAATGTTTTTAGACAAACTAGCTTTTTAATAAAAGAGCGACTTTGTCTGCTATTCTATATGAAAACTGAGTGAAACTACAATTTATATACAAAATTTCAGAATATCTTGATTTTAACTTGATTTGCAAATTTACTAATTGATTCCCCAACTCTTGACACACTTTACAGCTTAACAACATTTTCCCCTTAAGACTTTTCAGATGAAATATTGCGTTGATAAAAGTTTAGTACTTAGTACTTTATATGAACCGCAACCAATTGTCCAAAAGAGTTTGTGTTAAAGAAATGGTATCCTGTTTGTAGTTAACACCCAAGACCTCAAAGAGAAATGAAAAAAAAACCATGGTAAATAACTTTGCCATCATTTTGAATCACTCCATGGCAAACAAGAAAAACAAAGACCAGCAAAAAGTCTCCCTTCACATGCATATGGACAGTGCAAAAAAGGTGGTTTGAAAAGTCTGACAAAGGTTGGGCGTGATGTTGATGTTTGGTATTTTTCCTGCTTTATTTTTTATTTAGTTACTCGTTAGTCGTGAAGAAGAGTACAGAAGAGAATTTAGTATATTTGTTGTTGCTTTGTTTCACATTCCTCTTTTCGTAATGTGCTCAGTTTGCCGCTTTATTGGAATATTCCACTTCGTTGTTCGTTGTTGCAACTTGCTACTCGCAACTTGAAAGGAAAAAACACGTCAGAGCAGGGTGGTGTGTTTTGTGTCTGAAGTGAAAAATGCAATAGTTGCCCAAGACACTGCCACGTAGATCTGATGCACCATTACCTATACATAACAGGCCAACTAAGGAATAAAAGCGAATGGAGTCAAGGCAAGGAATAAGCCTTGAGGAGGCATGCGGCATAATTTGCTTAGCATTCAATATTTAAAGATAGTCAGCAACGGGAAGGGGCGAGGGGAGGGAAGAGGATATGCAAGACTGACTGCTGCATTGTAAGATGAAAATTGGCGCAACATTTGTAAGATTTGAGCAGTGCAAAATTCTTTCCGGCTGGTTGCATTTACAATGTGCACTCTCAGACATTTGTTCAGAGTTTTTTTGTTTAATAAAAAAAATACTTGCAGACTTACGTGCGCCGGGCAAGAAAAACACTTACAGTTCTAAGTAGTTTTCACATTATATGCACACCAATCACCCGAGCAGACTGAAACATTGTCGAGCGCCTGAAAGTACACAGCACCAGGTGCAGACCTGGGCGACAGACTGTCTCATCTGGACAGTGTTGAGATCCTAACACATTTCCACACGTGCAAGCATTAAAAGTCACTGGGGGAAAGTCTCATTTGATAGCCACAGATAAAACTAAAAAACGCAGCTCAGTTTAACAGTTTTCATGTTGAAATATTCGTTTTTGATGCCCCAAGCGTACTGGGTGCATAATTCATATTAAATTTGGGCATTATATGCCACTGCCAGCAGCAGACTTCCTTTTCTATTTTAAAGCGTATCTTTAATCAGCATTTCACTCACACTCAACCGTTTTGTCTGTCAGTTTAACAAATTAAAATGTTTGCTCTCTTAGTTTAGTATCCAATTATTTTAATCTTAAACTGTTTTCCTGTTGAGATTATAGGTGGTAGTAAAGTTCTTTAGCTTAAAGCGCTTTTGAGTATCTCTGTGCTGTTGTCCTTTTCTGTTCCTGCTGCAGTCTGCCTGGCAAATCCTGCACGCTATAAATCTGTATTGCCGTCCTCTTTATCTGATAGCTCCAAATGTGTCCACGCTGTGACAACCAACCCACTCCGCGTCGCACATGCAAATAAATACTTAACTGTATACAAATTTTTGAAGAAAAAAAAACTGGTCACAGTTGACTTGTTTTTTATTTTTGTCGTAAAAATATATTTATAAATATTCTTGTGTTGCCGTTTGGGAGCATTAAAAACTGAAAATGGCCCGAAGAGCAAAAAGCAACCACTTCATTCGATATGCTCTGCTGAGCTGCTGAGAGAATGAGAGCATTGAGAAAACAAAAGGCACACACAAAAAGCTCACAAAATTGGGACCAAACCCCCCCACTTCAAAGACCCCACCAGCACCAGTCCAGTCTGCCATCCCTGGAGACCGACCTTCGCAGCGGGTGTCCAAAATGCTTTTCATGCCATATTCATGCGTCGTCACACGTCAAAACATTTTCAACTCATTTCGCATAGTACCCAAACTGAATTTCCAGTCAACTCGCTGACCAAACATATGGATGGGATGGAGCACTGACTTTTGAGACCCATATATGTATAGGTGGTCTCGCGGCTGCCTTTGGTAGTTCAGTTTTGCGTCATTTTAATGTGTTCACGCTTCAGTGCATCCGAAAACTCTTTTCATCTGGCGACACACACACTCCACACACACACACACCACAGCGCGCATAGAGCTGCCACAGCACTGAGTGCGACTACAAGTGTTGCATGCTAGTTTTTCATAAGGTTTTATGAGCTGTTCCCGCACTTCCGGCAGCGCTGCACTTGTGTGAGTAACGCATTTCCGTTGCTATTGTTGCTGTGCGCCAGGTCGGGCACAAAAGACTCGCACACTCACACACTGACACTCGCGGCACAATATTTAACTAGGTGACGTTGTGTCTGATGACGAAATATTCAACAAACCAACGTCAAGAGTTCAATTAACGTGTTTGTTGTTGTGCTCCGAACAGTTCAGACGAGTTCATCGCTTGGCACCCAACAGAGCGACCCATTGGCATAGGCAACCTAACCCGACTTTTTACTTAACCATAATTTCATTTCATTTTCAAGCATTTTTCGCATTACTACATTGCAGTGGCTCGAAACTAAATAGGGCTAATTTATATTAAACTGTCAGTTTATTTTATTTTCGCTTATATGTTTGTGCTTATTAAAAGTAAATTCACGCAGTACATTTCTGTCCAGGACCCATCTAAATGCTAGTTTAAAGTAAACCCAAACCAAATAACAATTCAAGTCGTACACAAACCGCTGATATTTGCCAAATATTTTACATTTACTACGTTATCTGCAGCACTTTGCACAGTAAAGCTCAACAACCATACATTCTAATTGGTATTCCAAAACTAGCACATCGAAGAGCACTTACGAAATATGAAATTCGAGCTGCAAAACTAATCCCAACAACAGATTCATCTAAAGTTAAATTTTAGCTGGCAGTGGACCGACCACAGTATTTTTGGGGCAAACCTTTCACTGGACGTTGTGTTTGGTTGCATGTGGGTTCAAATTGGGTTTTGAGTGCCAGTAAATCGGAACTTTTTGGCAACAAATGTGAAACGCTGCTGCTGCTGGCAATTCTGAAAGCGTTAAGAGCATTTTAATGGGCAATAACAGTTGCGCCAGTGTAATTGGTCTCTAAATAACTTTTACTTTTCAATTGTGCTCCACGAGCGAAACTCAATTAATGCAATAAATTCAATGAAGATAAAAAAAAATGTGAGAAAATCACAGCAACAGCAAAATGTCGCGCCTAAGTTCAAAAATTGCATTAAGAGTGCGAAACGGCAAAATTGTACAAAATAATCGTAAATCTTGAGAAATTTCTGAAAACCGAACCAAACAAAATTACTTCATTGTTTGTTGCTGTTGTTGTTTACGTTGTTGCTGTGGCAACTGTGGCATGTAATTTTGTTAACCTTAAGCAGCAGCAGCAGCACCCAAGGGGCAAGCACGAGAGACAGAGAGAGAGGGAGAGAGATGAGTGCTTGGCAGTGAAAAAAGCAGAGCTGCAAAGTTTGAAGCGACAACGCTGACGCTGACGCCGCGCAGTCGCAGTCGCCGCATCGGAGTTGGCCGCGGAGCTTGCGCTCAGCAGACGCCGTCGCTTGGCGTCAGTCTATCGCGGGACGCAAAAGCGCGCACAACACAAACAACGAACGCGCCGCGAAGCGAGACGGCGACATACAAATAAGTGTACAAGAGAGAAAGAGAGAGAGAGAGAGAGCAAGAGCGGGACAGGGAGAGAAATTCAAAGTGTGCGTTGCTTGATTTTTTCTGTTATTACTGCCACTTGACGTGTTTGTGTGTTTGTTGTTTCTGTTGTTTCTGTTGCTTTTTGGCCAATTTCATGCACAATAAAAGCATTTTTAGTCTTAACCACAAAAATCAACAAACTGTGCAAGAGGCGGCGCCACCAATAGAAAGCTGCAGGCAGCCAGCCTGCCCCACCGCTCCCTCGCATCCAATCCATTCCCCTTAAACAATCAACAGATCTGTATGGATGTGGGCTTGTGCAAATAAAAAAAAGAAGAAGCTCAATTGTTTATTTATTTGCACTTGGCCACGAAGCCGGCCTCAATGTGGGCCAACCACAATACAAGTTAACATACGCACACACGCACACACACATACACAATTAGTCAATATTTGCGTTTATGGCAAACAGCCCCGCAGCATCATTAACAATATTCCCAGCGTCATCATCTTCGCCTCTGCAGTAATCAATGAGTGGATTAATGCGGTCATTAGCCTGCGCATAAGGCCAACTTTAAGGATTAACGCTTAGATAAAGGTAATTGTGAACAAGCATTAGCCTCATTCTGGCGCTCATTAATTACGGCTAGCATAATGTGAAAATGATTGAGGCAAGTGGATGGATGAAGCTGGTGGATGGGGAAGCTCATTTGCGTGCCACCTGCATCCTGCATGAGAGAAACAGCGTATTTTTCGCAGCAATATATAAAAAGATTTGGCATTTGGTAACTTATAGTTGCTGCAATCGGTACTGTTTATTATTTCTTAGTTGACATTTATGGCTAGTTGGAATGGTTTGCTATTTGTGGTCGACTGTGCAGCAGCTTTCACTGTTCTCCTGACAGTTGCACAATAATTATTCTTTTTGTGTTTTTGGCAGTTGCAACGATTTCTATATAATATATATATGACAGCAATTGCAACTGAGTTGCCATGGGATTTGTGTCATGGCTAAACTGCAATCGCGATTTATGTGGCTGTGGGGTGAAGGCAAGTAAAGTGATTTAGCATTTATTAGTGAGCGACGTGCGCCAACTATTACTAACTGTACTATACCAGCGTCCTCTTTCCCTCCCTCTCTAATTCTATCTCGATCTTTATATATTCCCAATTTGGTGGCTTTATGGCGCCATGGGAAGCATGCGCCTGTTTGGCTTTGCCTCGCCGATGGAGTTCATCGTGGAAATTGCCAAATTTTCGAAAATGCCATTCCAAATGTCGCTTGTGGCTGTTGTTGCTGTTGCTGTTGCTCGGTTGCCTGCGGTGTTGTCATCAGATTTTTGGCAGCTACGCTTTAGCCAATTCATTTCTGACAGACTTGCCCCTGGCGCTGCTGCCACCTCGCAGCGACTACCGTTCTCTCTCCGATGGTGGCGCTTAGAGTGCTGCGGCTTTTCTGCACTTCAATGTGTATGCTCTGATTGTTGATTGTTCAAGTTGCGCGTTCAGTTTTTTTTTCTTCAATATTAATTCTAGTTGTGTAATTCGAAAAAAAATGCAATGTGAAAAGCGCCATTGCAAATATTTTATCTTAGTTTTAACAGTTCTATTTTTTCTGGCTGCATATTATATATAGTTATATATATACATATATATATATATATTTTTTTTTTTTGAGTTTATGCTTCGTTTATTGTTGCTTTTCATGTAAATTGTTTGCTGTTGCTTATTGTTTTTTGGAATTTTTTTTTATTCGCCCAATAGTTTTCTGTGCTAATTAATTTAAGGCTGCCATGCGAGTTGCCCATTTACATTTTGGCACGAAACTTTTCCGCCAACATGTTATGTTTTTTTTTCTAGTGTGTGGCATATAATTAAATTAGCCTCTCTTTAATGATGAGCGTTACTTCATTTTTTGTGCGTGTCTTTCGTGTGCCATTTGTATTAAGGCAGAATGATGAGTGGCATTCAATTGTTTTACATTTTCATTGACTTTATTTTACTTATCGATTGTCATATTTACTTTTTTCTTATTTATTGATTATTTTTACTGCTCACAGCTGCATAAATTATTCCATTTCAATTAGCTGCTGACGGCGTTTGCATTTTTAATTAAATTTCCATTCGAATTAAGTTCAATTCACATTTTTTGTCACTTATAGATAAAATTTACATACGCTCCGGTAAAAACAGTTCAGATCATTTTTATTTACGTGCTAAAAGTGATAAATTGAAATGCTGCACACGTATTAAAATAAGTTAAATTGCGTGTAAAATGCCAATAACGGCAAACACGTGACTTGAGACCGAATTTAATTGACGATTTAACAGCTGCTAAGTATCTCAAATGCTGACAGCGGCAATCATAAAACGCCAAAAATGTAATTATCTCAACTAGGTATACAAAGATACTTTATATCTATCTATATGAACACTCTTACATTATATACATCTATAAACATTCGTAGTATTTGTTGTATTCGAGAGCAATTAAAACACAAAGCTGCAAGCAAACAGCGCAGAAAATAAATACATCTAAAAAAATACAGCTGCAAAGTCATTAGATAAATAAAATGATAATGTGCTTGATGAGTCTGCTCGACAAGCAGCTACCCTGTCCGGTTTAGAGAACCATAAGAAACATTTAATAAAGAAACAAGAATAGATATACTTAATTGTGTCATATATGTCATCTTTTGATTGTCACCTACTCTTCCCCGCATTATACCCAATCCTAACCCATAGTTACGAGGTATCAAACCGCAACCACAAAATAAATATATGTATATAAGCAAAAAAAAATCATGAACAGCGTCTTATGTAGATATTAGGCACATAATAATAGCTAGACAAACAGAAGTGAAATGTGCGAAATGTGAAAGATGCTTCTTAGAGGCAAAAAGCTGGAAAATGGCAAATGAAAGAGGTGAAGGGTGGCAGAGATGACTGCGTGGGCTGGCACCGCTAATGACAAGTCACCTAATTAAATTTTCATTGAATTGCGCAACAAAAACGCGTCTCAAAAACGTTACAAATTGCAAAGGCAAGTATTATGTTTATACATTAGCCTTTGCCACAACCCCGACTACTATGCCCCTAGCGTAATTGTATGTAAAACCAACGATAATTGAGGTTGGTTGTGTGGTAAGTTATTCTAATAGTCAACATTAAAGAGAACAGAGAAACAATTCTGGGTGATATTGTGATAATTGTTTAAGAACGAAAGAAAGGAAAGTTTTGTTGCACACTTTTGGGCATAATGTACATAAGTTCTTCTAGGTCAGTTCGCCCAGATATATATGTATATAATTTATATGGTATATAGTGAATTTCTATATAAGTTATCTCAGAGTCGAGCCTCATGCAATTTGCTGACATATTTGTGTGTGGCTGTTACAGAAACTTTTAGCCAGGCGTCGGCATCTTGCTTTCGCACCAGCACTCGTAAAATGTAGAGTGTCGAGCATAAAACAAGGGCAACAGCTGCAGCAGCAGCAGCAGCACCAGCAGACAGTCAACGGCAGGCGTCGCCAGGATGTCGCGCCAGAATCCTGACGTTGGCATTTCACATAGTTAAGCATTTGGATGGCAACATTTGCAATTGTAATGGAACCGGCCTAAGTTGGCAGCATCCCCATACATAAGCAGTCTGTCACCCTAGTTTATCTGCTAGTAGAGGCATTAAGGTCAGGGCAACTAAACTTTTGCGGGTTGAGACAATTAACATACTTACACCATCAAAATGTTGCATAAACGCAAGCGTTGTCGATTCAAAAGAATTTACTTATAGTATTCAGGTAAAACTAAAGCAAATACTGGAAATTAAACGGGTTGATTGCCAGTTCAAGTTGTTGTTATTGCAAATAGCTTGCTCTCTATGCAAATGGTTTGTCGAAGTGCAAAGTCTGTTTGCGAAAAGCTCATTGAGATGTATTTAAAAAGTTTACAACGTGAAAGAAAATATTTCCACACTGGAAATAACTTTGTGTTGATCAAGGTGAATGATAGATGCTTGTGGCATAAACAAGAAAAGTATTAAATGTTAAGCAATTATTAGTTTAGCCTTCTGTTCAATTTCAAAGCAGAGGCATTTCATTTTGTAGTTCATGGTTAAGCGAACTTCCAGCAATCAATCATGCAATTCGCAGCTGAATCCAACATTTACAGCTAGCAAATGCCATTGGTTTTCCCAGAACTACAAAAACAATTCAGTTTTTGCAATGATTGCCCCGCAGGTTGCTGCAGATCCCACGCTTCATTTAACAACGACTGCAGAAGGGGTGACTATGTGCGTCAAAGTGCCGCAACCTTTTTAAGTCAGCGCAAAGCTGCAAGCAAAAGCTGGCTAAAATACCGGGGTAAACCGAGCAAAAGGCAAAGAGGCAATAAGAAATTGCTTGGCTTAAATGCTTCGATGAGCAAAGTGTTTCTGCTGCTGCTGTTTCTGTCCATTCGTAAGGCACTTTGACTCTTCTGTGTGTATTCGTGTGTGGACTTAAGTACTCAACTGAATGGCTACAATTTACGATTATCGGCCCAGACATTTTAGGCTTAATTCATTTAGCGGTCAGGTGGCCATAACGGATAATAGGGGAACGCTTAAGTGTATTTGCTAATATGAAAACGTGTTGATAAAAACAAAGTTGGCTATTTGGTAGCTAAAAAAATGAAGTAATTTTAAAGCAAATTCTACACAAGGAATGTCACAAATGGCATTTAGTTGAAGGGTTAATTAGATAATTAATAATCACTGGAGCAGGACACTTTCAGTCTCTGATTAAATTAAATGAAATGGTATTGCTTGAGAGCTTAAGTTCCTCTTTAATCCACAGTGGCAAGGACAGCTATAGCTATCAGCACAATTACGTGGACCGCGTGCGTCTTGAAGATACGAATGGTAATCATTATAAGCAGCAGCAGCACCAGCAACCGGCGCACCACTATCCGAAAACCACACACGATCCGCACTGTCCACAGCTGCGAGCCGCTGGCTGGCGGCACACGCACAAATCCGTATCGCATCTCGATTTGGCCACCAGCTGCCATGGTGCAGCTGGCGCTGGCATAGATCGGCAACGCAGGCAACTGCAAGTGCAACTGCATCATCATCACCACCAGACGCACCACCACCCGCAGCATCATCCACAGCCGCCGCTGACACCACACGCACAGCCCCATTGGACGCAGTGTCGCGTTGGGATTGCAACGGCACCAGCTGGCGGACAGGGTCAGCTGAGAAACGCTCGCTCCTTGGACTACACGCAGCTGGAGCGTGAGGAGAACGCTTTGGACATAGCCGAGTTCTATTGGCGTTTCGATGCGGAAGCGCCGCTTGAGCAGCTCGACAACTACGCGGGTGAGTTAGCTGCCTTGGCAGCCTTGAGTCGGATGCACTGAAGCATAAACATTGCAATTATTGAATTGCTTTCAGTTAATGATAACTTTGAGCCAGCAGCAGCAGCTGCAGCAGCAAAAGCAACATCATCAACTGCCACAGCGCCAGTAGCAGCAACAGCTACAGCAGCTGGCACAACTTCGACAGCAGCAGCAGCAGTAGCGGCAGCAGTGGGCGGCACAGTTACTGCCACGTTCCTTGACTTTGGCAGCGACTCATGCAGCTTGCGAAGATCGCGCAGTTTGGCCGTGATACGTGAGGAGACATTTAGCGATCTGCAAATTGGCTCGGCAAACAGCAGTCGGCGACGATCGCAGCTAATTCCGCGTGCGCGACTAGTTAATCACGGTTTTTTCCGCGAATCGCCCCGGTAAGTGAGACACATTGCCAAAAACAAAAACTCACTACACTTGACAGCAAAAGTGAGGGAAAAGCTTAGTGTCTACGTATATAGCTCAATGAAACTCTCACAATTAGATTCAATTGATTTGTTTCGTTTAACTAAAACGAATATTTGAGGAAAATATTCAAAGAAATACAAGCTGAAGCTTACTTAAATACTGATGATACACAAACTAGTATTTCCCATAATCAAATTCAATACTATTATTTTCCCAGTTAACTGGCACGTGTGAACTGAAGCCCCGTGACACAGTAATTATTATTATGTCAAAATCTATAATAGTGCCTCAGCCTCAGAGCCATCTCATAATTACATCGCATAATGACGACGACTTAATTATTGTGTTGCCTAGTGTATAGCTAGAAAGCACAACACGCATACGCCACGTAAACGCCAAGTCAAGACAACATTTGAGTCAGGCATCTTTTCAGTTGTAACGCGACGCTCGCGGCCAGCTCAACAGGTTGGCGCAATTTAATTTGTTGGCTTGGCAATTGTGTTGTGGTCGATTTTAATGGCGGCTTTTGTCTGCCTATTGTTGGGCATTGTTATTGTCTAGGGGATATTCGTTGGTGTTGTGGTTATTGATGTTGTTATGGCCCTGCGTGCAAACATTACCAATGATTTATGCGCACTGAGTTTCTGTGGCTTATGTGTCTGTTTTGCAGAACCGCAAAACTATTGCATAACAAATTGTGTTCAATGTGCTAAACAAAAATCGAAAAGTCAAAAAATCAAACAAAAGTTAACTTCAGTTTGCCTGCTCAAAGCTGGCGCACTAGCTCCAGGGAATCTGGTCACGTTCAACAGTTAACAACATGTTCTTTGATTTATGGCGCAGCCAGATGCTTTTAGCCAGAACATCCATTATGGCTGAAGCTCGTCCTGCCGATGACAGCTCTGCTCAGCTGAGCTGAGCTCCTGATTCTACTCCAACTTTCTGTCCGACAGTCACATCGCTGCTTAGTGCTCGTCTTACATTTAACTTGCCGCAAATTGTCGCGCCAAGTGATTGCGTAAACAACCGACAAAGTGCAATGTGAGGCGTACATAGAGACGGGGCACGAGGAGAGCGCTTGTGTCATTGTTAAGATCGAAGGTTAAGCACTTGAAGCGATAAGCCAGGCAACAGCGTTTTGCACGTTTCGAATCCGTTAAATGTGTCGGAATGGAAGATTAGATAGACGCCTGACTTGCATCACAGTTGTCGAGTTAAGCTCAACTCCGATAAAAAGTTAAAGCTATTAAACTAATTTGTTAGTGGTCGAGCTTGAATAGTAAACACTTTTTGCTGTTGCTGCTCTGAAATTATAGCTACAAATTATACGAATCGTCTGGAAGTTAGAGTCGTAATCGATCAGAACCGTAATTAATTCCAGATTAAGTGTTAAGGCTAGACAAAATAGTATCAATTGAAACGGATTGCAATTAAGAATCAAATCTGTTTTTACAAACATACAATAGCTAAGCTCAGCTCAGCCGAGCTCAGTGGGTTGACAATATCCTGCCGTAAATGGCAGCAACTTAAGCTGCCATTTGAATACTAAATCCCTTGCCTCCCTTTCAGTTTTGTTTAATTGCTTTACTGACAGACAAATCACATGCTTTGTGCATATTGATTGCATGCACAGTTGTTGCCAATGTCAATGCAATTGTTTAGCTGGCAAGTCTATCGTTATGCCCAAACAAGGCCAAACCAACAAATACACAAACAAACACACAAACGATGAGCTTGGCTATAATTTACTTTTGATAACTGCCGACACAAATGCATAACAATAGCATAATTATAAACTCAATCTCCCATTTACTCCCACTAAAACAGACTAAACAGCAAACAGCAGCAACAAGTGCACAGTGAGCAGCCAACTGAGCCGACGGAGGACACACAGAGCACTAGTAGCGGTGTAAAAACTTGCGATTCGCATGAGCAGCAGCAGCAACAGTTGCAGAAGCAACAACAACAGCAGCAGCAATTGCAAAAACAACAACACAGACATCATCATTGCCCACAGCGACTTCAACGTGACTCACATGACTTTGACGTCTACTACGATAATCTAAAACGCTTGGACGCCTTGGCATTGGGCCTCAGCGAGCAATTGCATCCGTGGCACAACGACAAAAGTGACTTGGAGAGTTTAAACTCGGACTACTTTAAGAACTCGCTGCATCAGAATCACACGGAGCAACAGCATTCCTCACTAGAGTTTGATGCACTCGAACAGGCGGTCACCCTGCTGAGCGAAAGGCCACGAATCTATCAGTCGCGACGACAGCAACAGCAAAACCATCAGCATAGATCACATCATTACTGTCAACAGCAGCAGCAGCGACACATTGATCTGGGCGGTGAATCCTGTCCGGAGCACAGCCAGAGCAGCGTCTTCCCGGAGACGACGACCAGCAACTCGGACGATCAGACGGACACACCATCACTGTCGGAACAGGAATACGATCTAACACATATTGAGCAGATCTTCCAGCAGAGCGACGCTGGTGAAGTTGAGGAGAGTTACGAGTTGATCAGCTTAACAACAACAACACGGACACGTTTCGAGAGCAGCGAGGACGACGAAGAGGTGGGCGTTGAGCAAGCTGTGGATGTTTTAGCTGGCGCCGAGGATAGTCTGACCACGCTCACTGAGACAACAGCCAGCGATAGTGATGCCACTTTGAAGCGGACACACAGCGAGCAGCTAGATAAGTTTATTGCCTACGATTCCGTTTATTTATCCTCCGAGGATAGCTCCGAATGCACCTTGGTTGGTGAGAGCAGCGAGTCCTTTGAGCAGCACACATTCAACAGCTGCACGGATAGCGGAGAGCTGGAAGCACGAAGTCTACTGCAAATTTCCATTGAGGACACGGTTTACGAACCACAGCCCAAGCAGCACAAAAAGGAGGAAGAGGAGCGGCAGAAGGAGAAAGAGCAGCTGCTGACCTCCGCGAAAGTAGACACACAGGTCTTTACACAGGTTCTGAAAATCGAGCCTGCCACGTCCAGTAGCCACATAAATGTGGGCGTAACGTCCAGTGTAGCCAGCAAGCCGCGAATTCTGACTGTGGTTGAGAAACGGAAACTGAGGCAGGAGGAACTGAAGCAACCTGCGCCGCCGGAACTAAAGCGACAGGCAACCGACATCTTTGTGGATTCATCGTCACACAAATCAAATCTCACAGAGAACCAATATCACAGTTTGCCAGATGTGAACATTAGCGTTAGCCTCAAGGCGAGCGAGACCATTGACAAGGAGCTGAGGACTTCCTATAATTTGCAGCGACAGCAGCAGCGCAAGGAATCCAAGCGACAAAAAGGCGAAGTAACCCGAGCGGAGACCTACGACTCAATAAGACGCTTTGGACGTGCCCATCAGAAGGCCAGGCAGAAGGAAAACGAGGAGCGTGAGAAGCAGCGCGAAAAGGAAGAGGCCACTCAAGTGGTGGAAAAGGAAACTAAACAGCAGCCGGAGCAAAATCAAGTGGCGAAAAAGAAAACGGAAAAATCTGAGTCGATTGAATCGGAAGTAGTTGTTATCCAAGTGGAAGTACAGGAAGGGAAAGAGGAGGAGAACGAGGAAGAGGAGGAAGAGCAACCTCTACCACCACCGCCGCCTCCCATCACAGAGGACGAGTTTAACGATAGCCAAAACGATAACGATAACGGTAACGCCAACGATAACCAATCAGTGTCCCTATCACATCCGGAACAGCCAAGGGAAGCGCCTGTCATCGAGATAGCAAACTTTAGCAAACTAATCGAGCGACGCGCACAGGAGTTAAGGCAACGCACAAAAGAGCAAACAGAGGAGCTGGAAAAGCAGCAGCAGCATCAGCAACAGACTCAATCATTTCGTATTATTGTCACTGACGCGCACAACAACATCATCCAAACGGAAGCAATTCACGAGGAGCAAACGAAGCCAGTTACACCAACGTCAACAACAACTTCCGTCAGCAGCAGCAGCTCAGCAGCATCAAAAGTGCTTACAAATTTCGGACACACTCATTCGCAGCGTTCGTTGAGACGCTCGAATAGCTCAGCGTGTGGCAAACCGCCGGAACGTCGCGTGCTCAGTGCGGGAGCATCAATTTACAAAGCTCGACCCATTAAGGTGCTAGCAACAGCAGGCAGCGATTCGCTTGGACGCCAAAAGATGTCACGTCCACAGATTTTGCATGTTGTGGATAGCAGCACCAGCAGCAGCAGCGGTAGTAGCAACAACAGCAACAGCAACTTGCGGCGCCGCAGCAGTGCGCGCAGCATTGCTAGCAATGTGAGCGGTGAAGTTGCCACCGAATATCTACAAAAAGTGGACGCTGTAAAGTGCTACTGGAATAAGCTGGCCGGCAATGAGCCAGCTGAAAAGCCAGACGAGGAGCCGGACAAGGTGTCGCGTCTGCACTTCCAGCTGGGCAATAAAGTGACGCCAAGCAATGGCGAGAAACCTGCTAGCAACAGTTTGGACTACTGTAGCATAATGCCGCCCTCCATTGAAATTGTCGAGCTGGGCGATGGGTCCCAGAAGGCAACAATTGTGAGTGCTGCACAGCAGGAGCTGCCTGCGAATGGGGGAGACGATGATGATGATGAGGATGGTGCACAGTTTGATCATATACGCTACAAGGTATTAAAGTCACAGCAGCTCATTCGCAACAGTATTCTGACGACACGCAACAAGAAGGAGGCACAATTCGATGGACTCATACAATACCTGCAGGACTACAGTTTTCAGGAGCTGCTGAGCAATAACAATGTGGTCATTGTAGAGCCGGTTAGAACCAAAATTGAGCGACCCCTCACAGTCGGTGTAAATACGGCCCCAACAAAACCTCCCAGGCTGGCAAGCACAGTACAGAAGACGACAGCAGCGCCGAAGAAGGTACGACAGCGCCAAGTGGGTGGAACTGGAGCAAAGCGACACTTCTTCTATCAGCCAGTGAGAGTCAACCGGGAGCTGTATGAGGATGAGCTGCCGGATCCGGATACGGTGCGTAATGTTCGTCGCTTCTTTGAGCAGCACATTCTTCCCACGCCTGGCCAGGGCATTCTCGTGCAATCGCAGCAGAAGTTTGGCGGCTCCGCTTGCCAGCTGAGTCCGAAGAGTCGACGAGCACGTGGCTACCGCTATCTGACTATTGACACGAGTTATGGCGAAGCAGCTGCTGCTGCTGTTGAAGAGCAGCCTAAGGGCATGGAGCTGCTCGAGGAGCACAAGATCAAGCACTGGGACAATGCGAGTTTATCGAGCGGTATCTCAAGCGGTGATTTATCATCGCCCTGCGGCGAGTGTCACAACCAGCCGGAAAGCATAATAAAGAAATCACCAGTTCTGGCCTGCAAGGGTGTTCATGTGCTCGATGTGGTGCGACGACACAATAGCAATGCGGCAAATGCCAAGGCCAGAGCCAAGCTTGCCAGCCGACGCACCTGGTGCGTGGGTGGAGCAATAGCAGCTGCTGATTCACGCTACCGACAAATTTATGAGCACAATTTGGGGCAGCCACATAACAGTGGAGATGATGCCCATGATCATAATCATGCTGATGATGATGATGACGATAGGGATGTGGATGATGATGATGACGACGATGTGGAGGCGGACATGTGCGAGTCGTATTATGTGAGCAATGTAAGTTGAAGCAAATGTCCAACTGCTTTATGGACCATTACGCTTTGATGGCATCCCATTAAGCTGCCCGCAACTACAACCCAACTCTCTTTCTCTCTCTCTCTCTTTTGATGTATATTTGACAGGATGTACTGGCCAAAATACGCGAATGTGGTTCCACGGTCACCTACTATGGTGGCAGAGTACTGGAGCGACAGACGCCCGAGAGAATGGCGGCAGCAACAATGCAGACGAATCAGCAGCTGATTAATGGCAATGCAGGCAACGCCCTCTCCACACGCTCACGTGTGCGTCAAATTGAATCCTGCAACGTCTGCCCGCCCACAATACAGGGCTGTGAGCATGAACAAACCGAGCAACAGAAGCAGCAGCAGATGCAGGAGCAACAGGACTCGTATCAGGGTAAGCATTAATTCCTAGTGACAAACATGCAAATCATGACTCGTATTTTGTGGTTTTTACAGGTATTAAATTTAAGCTGGTCAAGTCGAACAGCTGCAGCAGTCGACTGGAGCTGGCAGGGGCCAACGATGGTGATGGAGATGGCGACTCCATGCTGCATGGGGACAGTGAAATGGTCCGCAAAATGGTTCATCATTTTGAGTGCAATCAGCCAATGGCAACGACCAACGATATCAATCTGACCATCAACAGTCAAAGTACCGCTGCCAAAATTGACCAAGCAACAGCTCGACGACAAGTGACAGTAAATAATCACATCAATGTGCTCCGGGAACCGGGTGAAAGCCAAGATGTGCATGATAATCCGAATGATGTGGCAACAACGAAAACTTATCAAAGCCAAGCCATGAACATACGCCTTGATTTAAGTACGGGGCGTGGCAGCAGCGCTGATAAGCCCAGCAATAACGGAAAAGTGTGTCGCAATAAGAATGTGGATCTAGCTTATACGCTGGTCAAACAGTTGCCACATTCCGAAGCCAAGTCCATTGTCAATCCAGGCACGCCCAATGCCAATCAGTGGTCACAACTGAAAGCTCCGGATGAGCAGCAAATTGAGACCAAAAAGCTGATGCGACAGCCAGAAATTAATGGTCGTGAGCAAATCATAGTGCCCATTGAGATACATCAAACAAATCAGCAGCAGCAGCAGCAGCAACAACATCCTGCAGCTAGCCAGGAACGTCGTCTGAGCAATGCCAGCAGCAGTGCGTCCATTGTAGACAAGACCGTGGTGCGACACTATGTGGCCAATGACAAGAGTATCTACGAGCGACGCAAATACGATGATATCGAGTTCGAGGAATTCGAGATATACGATCCGGCCAAAGAGTTGGAGCGCCAGCAGCAGGAACAGGAGCAATCAAACGAGCACACGGAGCAGTCCAGTGACTCTATAGATAAACGGCATACAGATGGGGAGCTCTATGACAGCCTGGATGATAGAATGTAGAACAATGCTCAATGGAATCCAATCAACGACTTTTTGTGGTTCGGGTTATCGACACGCATAAGCTAAAAATATATAAATATCTATAATCTATACAACTAGACATTTTGTAAGTCCCCCATAGCTTTACAGGTAAAGCCAAAAAAACACACACACACACACACACGCAAAGAAAAGAATTGAACTATCCAAAAATTATGTTATACACTGCAACAATATGTTAATCAATTTGAGCTCAAATTCTATGGACCACTCTACTTGTAGTTTACCATTTAATGGCCAAATAAATATACCATTTATTTAATGAGCTTTGTCAGCTGCCAGCTGCAAAATTTATTTATAATTTATTCACGCTGTAAAAGTTGGAAACTGTCAAGCAGCGAGTGGGTGGGTTTAATAATTATAGCTGGCATTGCGGTTATCTGTTGGAAGCTGCGTAGACTGGTGCTGGTTATAAATTACAAATGAGCTAAGCTAAATGACAACTTTTGGCAATTTCTATTTAAAATACCATAACCAATTATCACTTTTCATTAGAAACATTTTCGAATTGAAAGATGCGAGCACAATTTTGACTGGAGTGGAGTTTAAGAGCTGACTAAGACTGAATGAAAGAAAAGAAATGAAAGCAATTCAACTAAGTTAAACTGATATTTAATTAGGCTTCATAATTTAATTCATCTATAGTTATTCAATCTGAATAGAATCTAACTCTCCCATTTTCTTCTTGGCAATTGCTGGTTGCCATATTAAACGTCATCTGACTTATCTGGTTTAGTAGTTTGGTTTCTGTTTCTCTGCATTCCAACCTGATTTCACATTCTTCGATATTTGTAATTTGTATAACTTTGAGGGAATCTTTTTGAGCTGCATTTGTTGACGCTTAGTTGTTTGAATAGCGGCTGCAAGGGTAGCTAGGTCCATTTTAGTTCTTTTACCGCCATTTCCGTTGAAACAATCATCTAATTTACAATGCAGATTCGTGTTGATTACGTGATTTTTGCGTTCTTTATCTTTCAGCATATTATAGGCAACGCGATTTTGTACTCTTTTTAGAAGCTCTCTGTTTCTTCGGAACTCTGTATGTGTTGTATGTGCCAGATAATTGTCGTTCCCTTTGTTGTTCGATAGGGATATTATTATATTTGCCCAAATGGTTGCGTTTCTTTGGTAAAGTGAACACCTTTTTGATCTAATATTCGCAAAGCATTCTTGATTTGCGGCTACTGAATAAAATTGATTAAATGTTCACGCAACTATGCTAACAAGCAGAGCCCTCGAATTAATTTTTGTACTTATGCCAATTATTTCCTAAAATTGCCATTGACTAAATATTTAAGGAATTTACTTACCCGTGGCCGGTTGGTTTTTGTGCTTGTTGCTCGTGCTCTGCGGACTCCCGTCATCATTCCAAGGCGTCGACGAGGCGAAAGTTCTGTGATGGTGTTGTAATAAAAGGCCAGGCCAAAAATGCTGCAGGCCAAAGAGACAAACAGAAAGAGAGAAAGAAGATAAGAAAAAGAACAAAAGGTTAAATGAACATTAATGATGATAGGTCGGCTTATTGAATGTGAATTAAATTGGCCATCCATCTGCCGGCTGTCAAAAGCATTCATTAGTAATGCACATATATATAACTTTAGTATATTTTTATAATGTGGATTACATTAATATCTACCTATATTAATATATATATATATAAATATATATATATAAATATATATATAAAAATATATATGGCGAGTGATGTCTGTCTTGCATGCCAAAAGCGTTCCTAATTAAGTTAAAATGCTCCCCAGCGAAATCACGTGCCTGTCATAACGAACATCAAATGGGTTTCAGAGAGGGAGCAAATGCCACAAAATGAAGAAACCGTTCCAATTCCATGCCATTCCATGCGTTATTCCAGGTATGGCAAAAGAGTAAATGGCTTTTATGGGTCAGGGGATAGGCAACAACAACAACTACAGCAGCAACAACGCATCATGTTCACGCCCAGTTTCCCTGCCACACGCTCACAACTTGCGTTTGACGGCGGCCAACGTTGCGTATGAGCAATCTCACGCACACTGGTCGGGAAGCTCAAATGAAAAGTTTTATTTTTCATTTCAATTCACCTGGGAAATAAAATGCGCAATCCAAATCGAAACTGAAACTGTTTACCTTGTCATTGTGCCACACACACACACTCATAAACAGACACAAACACATTCAAATTTAAGCAGCGAAAGACTACCGAACTCTACTCACAACGGACTCAGGACACAGAGCCGTACTGAGAGCGCAAATCAAGATAACAAGAAAAATAATAGCCATCACGGAAGACATAAAAAACAATGATGTTTTCTTAAATCACCTTAAGCCTGACAATAAGTTGAATGGTACACATTTTTTGCTGCAAAGTGTAGTTTGAGAAATTCCAATTCTATTTAAAACTCTTGCACATGACTTATGCTCGAAAGCCATGCTCGTGTCGCGTTTGCTCGTCTGCTTTTAATGAATGCTGTTGCATAATACTAAAAATCGAATGCATCCCACTGCGGTTCGTATATGGCAGTGTATAAATGTGGGTGGGTGTGTGCAGCGTGTGTGTGTTTTGATTGGATTTTGCGCTCAGCTTCAATCAAGCGTTTCAATAATTCAGCAGGCTAGCAATTTAGGGGAGGCAGGGCTAAGTAATTGAAATTTAAATAGTAAATAAATGGGACATGGTGGAAGACAAGTGCGTGAGGCATATATTAAAGTGAAAGTATCTCAGATGCCAGCAACGGCAACATAAATCACATTCGCATGCACCATATTTCGCTCTATTTTTATGATTTGAGATTATTTGGTGTCTGGTCTGTGTGGACTATATATATGAAGAACCGATACAGCTGCGATTGGGAGCGGAATGCCATTTTGATAGAACGGTCTGACAACTGCGACACATCCATTCAATAAATGACAGCATGAGCAATGACTAAAGGTGGCAGCTAACTTTCTAATTTCAAATACCACCCGGATGCCTTAATAAAATTCCAAAGTTGGCAAATTGAGTTAGCAAGTGTGGCCGCAACTGTCAGCCAATATTTGAAGTGAACAAATGAAACGCTCGTTCGAGGGGCATAAATTTAACAAGCTCTGAATGGCAACGACCCACAGCCAGATACTACACACCCCAAAAGTATGCCACACATTTTGACTTCTACTTCTGTTGCTGGCTGAAGCAGAATGCCAAAAGTTTTTATGATCATCCAAGTAAATTGAAATCACAGGCGCGCCGAGAATGCGAAGGAAGCGGTGCCGTCTGCTCATCTTATGGCTTTAAATGAAAATGAAAACGTAAATGAAAATGTTATTTCATAAAATACACCTGCCTGGTGGCGCCATCTTTCGCAACTTGAGCTACTCACTTAAAATTAATTCGTGTTCAGGGGCAGCTTTAAAGGCCAGCAAATGTCGAGAGCAGTCACAAAGGCAAAAACCGACTAAGGCAGCATGGGGCGTTGTCTTATCCGAGTGCTGCGACATGTTGCAGGAATCGCTTCATAATGAGCACAACAATGCGGCCACGTGCGCCCCCTTTGGCAAGGAGATGAGCTAATTCAGGACTAACCAAGCAAAACATACAAACAAGCAACACACAAATAAGCGGCATAGAAGAACTAACTCAACTGAGACGAGCTGACAAAAGAGCTTCTCGCTAGGGGCTGCGAGAGGGTAAGCGGAGCAGGGAGAGCCCATCACAGAAATTGCGCTGCCAAAGAGTTTAGACTATAATAATAAACATACAAAGTTAGGTATATGTTCCCACAAACTTTTTCGCCACAATTTAGTCACCCTCAGCATTTATTTTACTCTACTCAGAGAAATCATTTTTCAAGTCGCATATAAAACAAGATATTCTTGATAAAACTTTCATCATCGTATAAATTTCAATTTTAATTTTCCCTCTTTTATCATAAATATTTTTTTAATGCTTTAGTAATTTTATAAACTATTTACTTATTTGCAGAATTTTATGCTTGAGCTTAAGAGTTCTTTAGACGTAAGCTCAAGTTTTCATTAACCATTGAAAAGTTTGCCAAGCGAGATGGCGACTTTCTTTCATGGAATACAATAAACGTTAGTCGAGGGGCTGCAGGCAGCGTTTGAATTAAAACTGCATAGCTCGGTTCACTGCATCACTTATGCCTCCCTCTGCCATCCAACACAGTCATGTGCCAACCGGCTCTTGCAATTTGCATAGCTCGACGACTTGCCTTTGTTTCATTTGTCGCTGACAAAGTCGCGTGTCAAGTGTCTCATGCGAGGGAAGAACTCTGGCCGAGAGTCATTGTTGATCAGGCAGCCATTGTTGTTGATGTTAACGCTTCTGATTGCCATTGAATGTACGTACTTAATGTCAACAAATAAAGAAAACATAATTCAATAATTCGCGAATAACACTCTACGTCAACAAAGCTTAAATGAGCTTCAAACCGTACATTTATGAGCTATAAAAATTGAGACATGAAAATATTGTGCAATAAAAACGATACGTATACGTAATGTAAACACGTGTACGTCATGATATGAAATTTCATTAAAATGACCTTGGACTTTCCCCGATTAAATGGCACATTTTCACGCTCTCCTACGAATTGAGTATAATAAATCACATAAGCGATTATTCATTTAAGCTGAGATATCAAACAGCATTCTGCGATAAAAATTAAACTTGAAGCTATAGCCCAAATAAAAATACGATATCAGTCGTATATATACATCGGCATAATGAAAGCTGTGTCTATCAAAATCTATAAATATGTTTGCCGCAAAAAAAACCGACAAAAAATATAATAAATTAGAATCATGAGCACAGTGGGAAAAAATAATTGTTGTTGCTTTCATGCAATGGGTAAATAAAAATACAAGAAAACATTAGCTAACGAGTAAACATTTCTGTGTCTACAGAGCAGGTAAATGAAATGGGTAAACATCAAGATGTGGCAGTAGAAGAAGAAAAGAGGCAGCCAAATTCGCCAGACGCGACTATCAAAAATATCAACGAAAATGTTAGAGAAATGTTTTGCACCAACAACCAAAAGCAAACAGCAGATAAAAAGCAACGAAATACGAAAAGCAGACAGACTAAAATTAGTATGCGATATACACCAACGCACATATGTACATATATATAACTATATATATTGACAGGCGTGTAGATATAGAAACTCATGTACGCAGATAGGTATTTGAAATTGAAATGGATTTCTGAGAACAAATCAAAAAGAACAAAAATGAAAAAGAGCAATATGCTTCCACAATTTGTCGCAAACTCATATTTTACATAGATGGAAAAACAGTTCGTTGGCTGTGTGTGCGGAGGAAAGGGTTGGGCTAGATAAAATGGCCATTTGGCTGTCTGTGTTACAAGTTACAAACATGGCTAGCATTACGGATGTCCCATATGGCTGGCGGGCAGCAAGTATGCAAAAAGCACAGACTCTACGAAAGTTAAGCTATGCTCAGAGAAACCCATTCCTCTCTACCCTCTTCGCCCCTTTGTATATTGTTATGTAGGGCATGTTTTATGGCCCATTTTGGAATGTTTCGGGCCAGAATGCACGTTATGGGAATTGTGCGACGCATTCAGCTAAGCACATTTGAATTATTGTTCTAATGAAGTGTCTCATGGCCAGCGCTACGTATGCGTAATAATACACAAAGTTACGCATACGTCACGTGGTCATTGATAACTCAACTATTGCAATAAAGGCGTTTAAATGCAAATTATTTATAGAGTTAAGCAGCTAGAGAGAGAGAGATAGAGAGAGAGAGCGGGGGAAAAAAGCCCTGATTAATTAAATATTCAACTAATTGGAAATGCAAGTTAATTAAAGTCAAATTCTAATTAGAGACGAGACGCAGACGTGATGAAGACCACTCGTTTTATGTTTTGACCCAAGTTTGGTTGTGTGCGTGTCTGAGTGTGTGTGTAAAGGCACAACTTGGCCAGTGGCAAATGTCAATATAATTTTCCTAGCGCCCTGTCCATGGCCAAATAAAAAGCGTTAAGCCCTCAACTGAGTAACTGTGTGGATGAATTACGAGTGAAACTAAGTGCTCTGCAATAGGAGAGCGCCAAGCAAATTGAGGCATTAAACTTGCCAACAATTTGAAGGATGTTAAAAAGGGAGCAACATAAACTCGACGCTCGGCACATGATACGGGATAAAATAGCAACTGCGTACCAAGTAACACAAACATAGCAAACATTCTGCCTCCAGAGTATCCATTTATACGATAACCATAAGATGAACTGGGTAATAGCATTAATCACTCAAATACTCGTCAAAGTTTAGCTATGTGAAGCTATAACGAAGTGCCAGCAAAATTTGCATTCTCTAAAGTTTGCCGGATAACAATTATAACAAATAAAAAATCATACTTTATCTTGAAAGCAGAGCATAAAAAATTCGCATTAAAAAACCTTGACTGAGTAAAAA